GATTGGCTAGAATCTAAAGTGTATCACAGCTCAGGAAAAAAAAGCACCGAAATAAAGCACCGAAATGTGCGCTGCTTTTCAGTCTGGTTACTGGTTATGTCAGAACCGGTGCCATCATGGCACCGGATACCGGTACCTATCCCTACTCCCTTCCTTTGAGAGCAGAATATAGTACTACCTTATATTGTTGTTTTTGGGTTATTGGTGTTTAGGGTTTATCTTTGTCTTTTTATTTCTATATCTGATACTTTGCAACATCAATCTCTCATTTGTGTGTGTTTTTAAGGGTTTTAAAGCTTTTGTTCAGTGGACCGCACAATGTCACAAAACACACCGAATCACATGGAGAATTTATCCTGACTTGGACGCCATCTGAGAATCAAGATGGAGAAGATCATCCCGTCTGCTTCTTAGTCCAGGCAGAGAAAAAGTCAGTGTGGGATTTGGATCCATTAATAATAATAAGTGAAAAGCACATCATACAGTAAATACACGAGGACTGGAATATTTTAAATTGATGTTTTTGTACTATTTCAATTATTCATCAGTGCAGCCAAATATCAGTCTGAGCTACGATGTGTGATTGTGAGCTATCGCACAGGTGAGCATACTCGCATTATGTTTTTCCCTTCATTGCTTTTCACGATTAATTATTTTTACATGTTTATTATCATGTTTTCAGAACCAGTCATCACAACATCTGTGCCAACAACCGTTCTGCCTTCAACTACTCCAGCGAGCACAACTACTGGTGCGTCAAACACAGAGAGCCTTAATATTGTGTTAAAGTCCTGCATCACTGACGTCTGGTTATTGTAACCTGTTATTACCATTAGTGGCGTTCAGTTATCAAATGCATTTTTTTTGTGTAATTCTACTAGGAGTGATCAAAACAAAGATGTTTGTTGTGCCCAACAAGACATCACTAGTTGTGCCTGCAAAATAATGCATGTTTTTCTCCTTGGTGGTGGTGCAGGACTGGAATGAATCTGAATGTGACCATTTTCCCACCATGTCGATATGTTTGTCTTTAACAGTAACCGAAACAGAAACACTGAGCATAGCAACTATGGTGGCAGATGAGTCCAAAGCATCAGGTAACTATACTTTTAATGGGTTGAAAATGTGCAGCCAGGGTATAAAATGAATGAACAAAATGAACTTCATTACTTCAGCTATTCTCCTTCTGCCTTGCGTACATGCAGGTGATGACAGCAGTCATGCTGGCAAAATTGCTGGCGCTGTGTGTGGGGCTGTAGGTGTTGCAGCGACCGCTGGCATTGTGGTCTGGGTGGTGAGAGGAAGTCCACACGCATTCTGTGAGTCAAAAGTTCTCCTGTTTCTAAACTTACCTTTTATTTTGGCTTAAAAACAACAGTGTAAAGTCAGTCGTTCAACAGTATTTTTTCTTTATTTTTACAGATAAAGTAGTCTAATGGGAGAAGAAAGAGATAAAGGAAAAACAAAACTGGCTATAAAATCAAGAGAACTTGGAAAAAGGATATCACAAACGTTTTCTCAGTAAATAAGTCACATTTCTACAGATGTATATACTATATAATATAGATGCATATTGTTTACTGATGAAGAATTGCACCATCATGTCAATCTCCAGTGAACTGATATTAGTCTTTGGCTCTATCTGGTGGTGGAATGATGGCGTGACATACATGTACAGAGTTGTAAATAAAAGCTACAGAGAGCAGCTTTTAGATGTGTGTAGTTCATCCTTTAACATCTTACAGACTTAAATGTAAACATACAAATGAGGCAGTTTTAATATCTACAGAGAAAATTGTTGGAAGTAAGGCACTGAGGTTTGAAGCCTGAAAAGAAAAAAGAAAAGTTCTTATAATGCACCTTTCTGCTACAACTGAGCACTAAAAGCACTTTAGTTCTGTTGCTTTATTGTTTACGTTTTGTGATCTGGATGGTGAAGGAAAGTCAGGGCTGTTAGGGCTGACAAACACATTAAGCTCTTTTAACCCAGTGAGGCGGAAATCAGAGCTGGTGATAACAATAAACCTAATATGACCATAATCTCATCATTTAGACAAACACAAAACAGCCATTATCTTTCTTTTAAAATGTAAATAGTTTTTGAATGCATGTCACTTTAGATTTTTTTTGAGTGCAAACTATAGGGGTTTGCTCATCTGCCTTCACATGCATACAAACTACAGTGACATCCCATTCTTTAGTCATAGGGTGTAATATGATGTCCGCCCACCCTTTGCAGCTACAACAGCTTCAACTCTTCTGGGAAGGCTTTCCACAAAGTTTAGGAATGTAAGAGTTTTTGATCATTATTCCAGAAGCGGATTTGTGAGATCAAAAACTGATGTTGGATAAGAAGGCCTGGTTCATTTAATTCTAATTCATCCCAAAGGTGTTTTCTAAGAGGCTGATGTCAGGACTCATCCATGTATTTATGGACCTTTGTTTGTGCTCTGGTGCACAGTCATGTTGGAACAGGAAGGGTCCAAACCCAAACTGTTCTGACAAGGTTGGAAACTTAAAATGGAAACAACTCTAGAATCTTAGATAGATAGATAGATAGATAGATAGATAGATAGATAGATAGATAGACTTGGCTTATTGGTGGTAACTCAAACCCCGCTGTGCCAGTATGTGTGTGTATTTTATTCATTTCTATGTTTAACATTAAATGTCTGTACTATTAAATCATTTGGATTGCTTGTATTAAGAGAAAACCAGCAGATGGTGCTAATTCTATTCAATTCAATTCAATTTTATTTATATAGCGCCAAATCACAACAAATGTCGCCTCAAGGCGCTTCATAGATACAGAGAAAAGCCCAACAATCATATGACCCCCTATGAGCAAGCACTTTGGCTACAGTGGGAAGGAAAAACTCCCTTTTAACAGGAAGAAACCTCCGGCAGAACCAGGCTCAGGGAGGGGCGGCCATCTGCTGCGACCGGTTGGGGAGAGGAAAGGAAGACAGGATAAAAGACATGCTGTGGAAGAGAGACAGAGGTTAATAACAGATATGATTCAATACAGAGAGGTCTATTAACACATAGTGAGTGAGAAAGGTGACTGGAAAGGAAAAGCTCAATGCATCATGGGAATCCCCCGGCAGCCTACATCTATTGCAGCATAACTAAGGGAGGATTCAGGGTCACCTGGTCCAGCCCTAACTATATGCTTTAGAAAAAAGGAAAGTTTTAAGCCTAATCTTAGAAGTAGAGATAGTGTCTGTCTCCCGAATCCAAACTGGAAGCTGGTTCCACAGAAGAGGAGCCTGGAAACTGAAGGCTCTCCCTCCCATTCTACTTTTAAATACTCTAGAAACAACAAGTAGGCCTGCAGAGCGAGAGCGAAGTGCTCTAATAGGGTGATATGGTACTACAAGGTCATTAAGATAAGATGGGGCCTGATTATTTAAGACCTTGTATGTGAGGAGCAGGATTTTGAATTCAATTCTGGATTTAACAGGAAGCCAATGAAGGGAAGCCAAAAACAGGAGAAATCTGCTAATTCTATTGGTTACCTCTGGCCAAGCTGTAATTCACATTCTTTGCTGGAGCAAGTTTGACATTTGATATGTTCTGAGAATGAGTGCGATTTAGTGAGTCTTTTATAAGAATATGAGAATGTTGATTAAAAGTGTATCATACAACAGAAACCTAAGAGTGTTTCATATTAGCGTTTTTGCAAATCTGGCCAAATTTTTCCACAGGAAGTGGTTTTAGTCAGACAGACTTGGTCGTGGTTTACATTTGTATTCGGCACAAAGCAGCTCTGATTGTGTTGACCAAGACATATTGTTATATAAAATAACAAAAAAAGAAAAGAACTAAATTACCTCTATTTTTCTGTCTTTACTTCATTCATCATCAATTCCCCCTCCTTTTTTTCCTTCATATGTACAAAATGTTGGAGAATATTTAAATAATTTGTAATGTGAAGATTTTGTAAAGATTCACTATGATTTACACAGCAGTGCACTCCATGATAGTGACATCAGTACTTATTCAGGGTCAGAAACCTCTGGTTCATTGTTTGAGATAGGTCCTATTGTTCCCACCACAGAACACAACAGAGAGCAGCTTTACTCAGAAACCAAACCACAGGATTTTCCAGCCACACAGCAGAAAACTAAATATAGGTCAAACAAGTTTACCTGTCAAAACAAGCACTTATACTCGTTTCCATTTTTTTGTTCCATTTTTTAAATTGTTTTTGCCATTTTAAACTGCACATGCTTTCAATATAACTGCTGAGCTGTTTGTGTTGTGGGTTTTTAAACTGGCACAGTGTCCTGTGTCTTCTCAGAAATTACACTCCCCTAGATTGAATACACTCAATGTAACCACAGCTGACCCATATTGGCTGAAAGAGCTGATGGAGCAATAATCATTGCATTTCCCTGTTTGCAATTTAAAGAAATATTATTAATGTTGAGTAAAGTTTTAAGCCCATGCTGAACGGAGATGAAAGTGTGGACAAAAACAACAAGAGACAGCCGTACAAAAGCTGATGAAAATAAAACCACAAACACTTCGCCGAGCACTGAAAGCCCCTACACTTCCTTTTCACACACAGCGATTATGCATTTCACATCCTCTGTAATCTAACCATTTGATATTTTTCAACAAACATTCTTGCTCTTATGAAAACAGAGAAAAATTGTCACAAAAGGTCAAAAGCGTCACACGTCAAAAATAGCAGATAGCAGACATGTCTGGGACTTTTACTATGGGCTCCATGTCAACAGAAATGTCACAACATGCGTTACACCTTCACTGCTTATTACTGATTTATGACTGAGTGGAAACTTGACTAAAGCCACCTGTGGCCAATAAAAGAACTGGCCAGTTTTGCTTTTATGTTTCTCTTCATGTTTCTGCTCTCCTACTGCCCCCTCCCACACCACAACAGGAAGGAACTGAGCAAAGTGAACAGCCTTTGTTGAGCAACAAAACACAGAACCCGGGAAAGCTTACTAACATTTATTCAGTCCTAAGATTTCTGTGATTTTAAGAAAAGTCACTCGGCAGGGTTGATAATGTGATCGGAGAAACTGGTCATGAAAACCTTAATAGTGAGTCCACAAAAAACAAAAGAACCACTCCGGACGAACCAACAACACAAGAATGAATCAGAGGCATCTCTTCATCTCCAGACATGAAGTATTTATTTTAAAATATATTTATTCTTGCTATGAAATTAAGAATTCAACTAAAACAATTTTTTAAAAAATCAGTTAAATCTGTACAAAAAGATCATAATAGGTGAAAAACTATTGACAAGAACCAAACATATCAGATATTAATTCAAAACCTTACCACTGTTTTAAAATAAACCAAAAACAAAAATTAGATTAAAAAAATCTCATTACAGCAATAAAAACTAAGACACATCTTTGTCTCCTCTAAACACACACACACACACACACACACACACTTGCTCTTTCTGTTTTTAATCTCCTAACATTCAACAGGTCTCTGGTGACCCATCTAGGGTTATTAACCCACCCGTTTGTTTTAGCTAGATGCTAAAAAAGTAAATTAAGTATGCATCGTTTTGCACTCCGGTTATTCAATTTTGGTTTTCCAAACAGATAAAAATTCCATTCAAATGAGTGGATGTTAACTGAATTCAAACCTTTCTCTCTGAGCCTAACTCATCAATAGTCCTTCGGGTGTCATACATTGAAGCAGGTGAACCATCGCCTCAACCTGTTGTGGTGTTGGCGTCACATACAAATGATGTCATGGGTCTTTTGTCCACATTGCTATGATGACCTCACGCACATTAAGTGGTCCTTTTAATGGAAAATGATTAAAGTCGATTACAGCCACATCAGGTCGACCTGAGATACTGTTGAAAGGGCTGTAAGTGGTAAGATATGAAGAAAGATTGCGCAGCAGGCACACGCAGTGGCAGCAGGACAGGAAAAACCCTTTGAGATAAAAACCAAGGTTTATACTCGAGTGTTAGTGAACATGAAGTCGTATTAAAACATTATCCTGATATTCAGATAGCAACTACGATTTTCCTGATAAACAAAGTAAACAACATGGTGATGGGCTTGCACACACACAATAACAATGCAACACATGAAATACTGTGGCAGAATACAGCAAGACAATAACATTAGTTATTAGAAGACTCAGTTTGTAGAAGTGTTACAAACAGACCACCTACACAGGCCTCAGCTCTTTTTTTTTTGAATGACACTACAGTCCCCGTTGGCCCTGCACAGATAAATGCTGGCAAATGTCAACTGAAAGCTGGTGAAAAATGAATACCCACGTTCAGGACACCCCGTGGTACATGTTCATCAGCTTGTTTGGTTAAACAACTATTTCCATGATGACATGATCCGTGCGCATTCTCTTCGCAGCATTCTGAGCTGCTGTGAAGAAAAAACAAACAGAACAGCAACATGAATTCTTGTAGCTTTTGTCTTAACAGTCATCAGAAAACAGCAGTTCAAGGTTTTTAATCAGATCAAGATTGCCTCATATTTCTAGAAGTAACTTGCTTGTCAAAGGTCACCTGCAATACCACATTGTAACTTTGGAATTTACCTGCAAACCTCAATAACCTCAGCAGCTGGTGTCAAAACACAGTTCACCAGAAAAAACATGGCTGCTTTATAATAACGTGGCACCTAAAGAACAGACTTTTTTCTACCAATAACATCTATTGGACATGAGCACAGTATAAAAAAATGGACATGACCATCGTGAAATCAACCAATGATTTATAAACTCTGATTATGAAAGCTCAAATTCACAATTTTGTAGCACCATTTGAAACCAGATTATTAGTTCTTATAACCAAGTATTATGTAGTGAAGGCCTTCCACCTTCAGTTAATACTGTAAAATGATAAAGCCAGACAGGAAATAAAAATTTCCAATCTTTAAAAGTTAAA